TTAAGGAGAATTACATGCATACATATTTGGCATTCGATCACGTTTGTGAGTGACAATAGTTGATAAGTTTATACATTATATATATGTATTATATATGTATTATATATATTATATATATATATAATACATTATAAATATAGATAGATCAACATTAACAAACCTGTGAATTTTCTTGCATCTCCTTGACAAATCGATGCAGTATCTGAAATTATTAAAAAAAAAAGATTAACTTTCATTACGTAAATAATTGTATGAGAATAAAGTTTGATAAATACATGTAACAATTGATCATTCGGTTTTACTTCTTTAATCCCATTATTGTAAATATCTAGTGCTTTTGCATTTTGTCCTAATAATCGGTACACTTTACCCGCACGAAGATAACCCTAAAAACCTAAAAATTAGATCCAATATTTAAAAATTCAAAAATTAACAAAAATTATTAATTTATAATATATAATTTTAACCTTTGCCGAAGTCTTGTCTAAATTTATAATGATTTCGGCATCTTGTAGGGCAGAAGTAAGCTGTCCAAGTTTTTCACGTGTCGCTGCGCGAGAATCATAAAGTTGAATATTATTTGGGTCCAGTACGATTGCCTTTATAATTTTTAAATCGAATTTTATTAATTTTATTGAAATTTATATATTGTATTAAAAAATTATATCGATATTAAATATATGATACTAATCATATATAAACAAACCTTTGTAAAATAGGTTTGCGCTTTTTCGAATTCTTTTTTTCTAAAAGCGGCTAAACCATCATGATAATGTTTCTGGGGACTTTCCGTAGAATATTTAATCATATTATGACCTTAAAACAATGCTAATCCGAAAATATTTAATATTTATAGAATTTGATGCGAAGAGACGCGTCACATCACGTGTACATTGCTCGGCTATTCCACAAAGTTATTTAATTGTTTCAAATGTTTTGTTATACAACATATAGATTCTGAAAATGTTTAATAAACAACTTAATTTAGGTTATTTATTGTTTAGCCCCTCTTACTGTAAGATAGTCAAAAGAGTTAACGGTTTTATTAGCTCGTCTAATAGCCGCTGGGACAAACTCCCAGTCTTTCACTTTACATAATACTTTGCGTTTTTGGCAGGTCCAAATTCGTGATTTACTTAAATTGCTGTGCAATCTGTCCTTACGAACCAACTACACTCTTTTTTCACGACAATCGTTTCATGAATTATAACTTTTAACTATAATGGCTGCACGTGTTATACTCATCGGAATTGGTGCCTTATTTTCTGTTAGTTTTTATTAAACATTAATACTTATGTCTTGTTATCTCCGTTCTTTCATGACTAATAAATAAATATTTCACGAATAGATTTATTGTATCGCTGTGGTAATTCTGACGTTTCTTGGGCTGAATTGTAAGTGTATTGAATATTAAATAGCGAATGTAATTGATGTAAAAAGTATGTATACAAATTTAATAATTAATGTATTTTATAGTTGCCGTTTTTCATCTTGTGAATTTCTTCCTTATTGGATTCGCTGCTATATATGGAGTACTTACACCCTTTGGGATATCAGGAATTATTGGAGGTTATAATGTAGGTTTTTTGAGAATTGATGTTATAATTAATTAATTAATTGATCTATTTCATATAAAACATGTATATACTCTTTATTTTAGCGTAAAAAATCCCTGCTGAGGAGTTTTATCATTCAATATTGGCTTGCTTCTGCGATTCTCATTGGAATCAGCGTTGTAAACATTTTCCTTGCTCAGAATTTTCGGAATGATACAATTCGTAAATGTCAAAGTGAACATTTTTTTCAAAATGACCCTTCATTACCTAGATGCTCTGATAAAGTTGCCTCTGCACAGAATGCAACTTTAATATTTGCTATTATTCAGGGATCAGTATTAGTGAGTAAAAGAAAAGTCCTTTTCTGATTTTGTAACATTTATGTTATGTTTAACTAAAGTGATCATATCTATAATACTTATTCAGGTATTTTTGGGAATTTTCGTATTAGTATTTGGTATACGTGAATGTAAAGATATATCATTAGAAGAAGAGGCAAATAGTCTTATTGCAAAAGCTAATTTTGAAAAAAAGGGTGGAGGAATCTCACCTTCATCAAATGACCATTTATCACCTTCCGCCTCATTGCATCGCAACAACAGTAATAACAGTAATAACAGCAATCCCAGTAATCCCAGCAATCCCAGCAACAATGATGATGGCTATATTGACCTTGGTCGCGATCCCAATGCCATAGGCAATCTTGGTCGTGATCCCAAAGCCATAGGCAATCTTGGTCGCGATCCCAATGCCATAGGCAATTTTGTTCCGCCACGATATAATCAAGGATACGTATATCCGACCAGTGAAAAATCCATGCCCACGCCGTACACAGGTATACGTCGCCATCCAACCAGCCCCACTCGGATTCCTTCAAATCGTATACCAAGTAGTAACTTATCACGCTATCCGACTACCGTTAATAACGTATCTGCAAATAGAGATCCTGTGACCATAACGCTTCAATCAACGAACGGCAATAATAATTATTCACAGAGAACCTATGCAGATGACGTTTACGCGAGCGCGTCCCGTAGACCACAACAATATACAAATCCTGGTCGTTCATTGTCTGCTAAAAAATATAATGATCA